GTTATAATAGTTTGTAATTAGTTGAGAGAGTTTAGAAGAATTGATTAATTTTTTAATTGTTAATATATGTTTGTATTGAAGTTGAATAGGTGATGGTTTGGAATAAAAGGGATTAAGATTGTTTTTAATTTTGATTTTTTTGTAAGAGATGTGTTTAAGAGAGGCTTTTGTGAAGGTTTTGTTAATTGTTTTCCAAGTTTTATCTAGTTCTGCTTGGTTTTGAATTTATGAAATATGTAAATGAATTTTAGTTAAGTTTTGATCTATATGTGTTTGGTATTTTTAAATTTGTTTAGATAATGCTTGTTTCCAAAGAAAGACTTTTCTAGGAGGTTGTTTATATGAAGAGAAGAGTATTAATAGAATAGAAAATTCAAGCAGAATAATATTGTGATCTGATTCTATTGTAGCATCTTCAATAATATCTGCATAGTCCAAAGAAGCTAAATGCATATTAGTCCATATTTGGTCAATTTTACAATGACTATTGTTGTGAGTAAAGGTAAATTTTATAGAATTGGGATGAAAGAGATGGAAGGTATCATGCATGTGGGAAGTGAGAAATTTAATAAGTTGTAATTCAGATGTTTGTGTTCTTTTTGCTGGAGAATGATCTAGTTTGAGGTTAGGTGTTGCATTAAAATCACCCATTAAAATTATTTTATAAGTAGTTTTTTGTATAAGTTTAATTATTTTGTTTGTTATTTCAGTTTTAAGTTGCTTTTTTTCTTGTATTGGAAAATAGACTTGAATAATACGAAGTGAATTATTTGGAAGAAAGAGGTCTAAACAGATAATATGTCCTTGATATTCTTGTATACATCCAATGTATTTAGATAAGTTAATGTGAATATAGATTCCAACACCTCCTTTTCTTAATATAGTGGGTGGGCTCCAAAAGTTTGAAAAGTTAGTGAGGCTTTGTGTGAGGGATAGGAGATTACTTTCTTTTTCAGTTAGGTGTGTTTCTAATAGACCAAAAATATCAATATTATTTTCTATAATATAGTTATATATAAGTAATTGTTTAAAGTTAGTTGAGAGGCTATTAGTATTAAGTATATAGATTTTGATAGTTTGAGAAGTTGGTATATCATTGTTGTTAGAAGAAGAAGTATTTGATTGTGTTTGAGAATTAATATAAGAAGTAGATGAGGTAGAATTAGAATTAGAAAGAGTTATTGACTTGATAAAAGAATTATAGTATGCTAGAAATTGATATGGTGGAATAATTCTATAATTCATTAAGAGTTGATCATTAGTATCAAGATAAATATGTATTTCATGTATATATATATTGAGAGATATTTTGTAAGGTTTGTAGAAGGATTGTTTTAGAAGATGATATAAAAAGGATTTAAGAGTTTGATTAGAGTTAAGTAATAGGAGATTGTGTTTTTTAAGGAATTTATTATAACAAGTTTCCTCAGAAGGATATGATGTATTGATGTCTGAGGAGGGGTTTTTGTCTTTTACAGGGTCACTTACTGTTTTAGGCTCAGCTTTTATAGCTATGCAGATATTCATAGTCTGCCCTGTGTGTTGGATCTGACCATCATTATCTTGGACCTTTACATAAATAGGCTTATCCACCTGCCTACTTATATCATTCTTCTTATTAACTACAGAGGGTATATCTTTTAATAAGGTGGTAGCTACATTTATATTGTTTGTAAAAGACAAAGTTAGAAAAAAAGAATAATTTAAGATTAAAGGTTTTAGATCAGTAGTTTGAATAGGTTGAAAGTTAAGATTGAATTTTTTTTTTAGTATTTTTTTTTGTCTCCAGATAAGCAAATTCTTTGTAGTACTTAATAGTTTGAGAGAAGGTATAAATTTGTTTTTAAATACAGTCAAAATAGGTTATAATTCTAGCTAGAAAGTAGGTATCAACAACAGTACGAATAGCTTGACTTATTGCTGATTGTTTAGAGTTGTTAGGTATATTGTAGTTTTTTAAAGTTATTTGATGATAAAGAGTAAGATATTTGTAAAAATAGACTCTACAACAGTTTGGACTTGTGGTGATATTGTTCTGTTTACAGACTGCTTTTTCAGCTATTTTTGCTAAGTCTTTAAGTAGTTTAGTAGGTATAGTTGTTTTGAGGGTAGCTTCATAGGTTCCATCAATATGAAAGATAGATGGATCAAGAGTAGATTCTTGAAGTATTTCTAAATCTTTTTTTGGGTATATTGTATAAGATTTATCAAGTATATCTTTATATAGTTGGTCTTTTTTATGAAAGAATTTTTCTGTTAGATATTTACAATCTTTATCATTGCAAGTTAGTATATGATAATTTGTAGCTTTGGTAGCTTTGTGCTAACATTGTAGTAGTTTATGTAGTTCTTGGAATTCAAAGTTAGGTGGTAAAAATTTGCACAATTGAATAATGAATTTTCAGCATATTTTGTTTTTAAGAAGAAGATAAGTTTCTTTTTTATTAGTTGAAGTATTAAATAGACTGGAAAGAATTTGTTAAACCATTCTTTGTAAATATTTAGTGAATTTGTTAAGGGTGGGATATGGAAAGTTTGTAGAAAAAAAGTTTTAGGAATATTAAATAGAAGTTGAATATTGAATTTTGAGTCTGATTTAATTTCAAAATATGGTTTGTCTTTATCTGTGCTTGTAATAGATAATTTAATTTTAGGATATTTAGATTTAAAATCAAAGTCTTTTTCGAATTTTTTGTAGTTTATAGATTAATATTTGTTTGAGAGATAGAGATGTAGTCATGCAAGGTTTAAACAGAGATAAAGTCGATTTTGTGTTTTGTAAAGTAGAACAGTGGCAGGTGAAGCAAGGATTTCTTTGTAGTTAAGTTTAGTGAAAAGAACTGTAGTAAATTGTAAAATAATTGTGCAGAGTGTTGTTTCAAGATGGTCAAAGAAATAGTTGTATCTGGACTAATGTCTAGATTATATTCATGAATTAGATCTATTAAAAACTTAGGATGCAAGCTAGCCATTGAGCAAAGAAGATGTTTAAAGAAAGCTTTATAAGTTGGTTGGTTTTCTTTTTCTGGTTTAATTTTTCTTCCAGAAAAGAAGTTGTAAAGATGATTTTTAAGAAATTCAAAGAGATAGTGAGAAAATTTGGTTTGAAGTTTTTTGTTTAGTTCTATTTCTTGGATAATTGGAAAGTTAAGTAGCCAATCATATGATGGATTTGGTTTAGGTTTAGGTTTAGATTCAATTGGTTGTTTTGAATTAGGTTCAAAGATATTAGATAAGTTTTATGTATATTTAATAGCTTCTTTGTTTTTAGATGTAGTTGAAGGTAAATTAGTACTTTTAGAAGAGTTAGTTTGGGTTAAATTCGATGATTGAGTAGAGCTAGTGTTAACAAAAAATTGATTAACAGAAAAAGGCTTTGAAGTAGAAAGTAGATAATTGACTTCCATATCAGTGTTAGATTGTGGTTCTTGGGTTGAAATAAGTGGAAAAAGATTGTTAAGAGAGTTTGGTTTGTTATTTTTAACTTGTGATTGAAGTTTTTAAGTCTAATTAATTTTTGAATTTGATTAGATTTTGGTAAGAGATTATCTACCAAGCTAGATATAGAAGGTGGTTTGGCTTGTAATTTAAATAAGGAAGAGCTTTTAGTTTTTAAATAAGTTACTAGTTTATTTTGTTGTTGTTGTTGTTGTTGATGTTTAGATTTGAATTGATGTAGTTGTTGTTGTGAGTTTTGAGATGTAATAGTAGAAGTTGTAGAAGTAGTTTGGATAGTAGTTTGATTGGTATTTTGTTCAATAAATATAGATCTTGATAGTTGTTCCATACATTGTCTTATAACTTCATCAGGTAGTGCAAAGATAAAAAAGACTGAGAAAGAGGTAGAAGTAGCACAGGTAGAGTGGTAGTAGTTTTTGTCTTGTCTAATTATACTACTTTGAGGTAAGTACTAATTATTAATTGATTTGCAGTTAATTAGTTAATCACATGTTGGGCATGTATGAGTATGAGAATATAGAGAAGGAGTAGTTGGTATTTCATTAGAAGGTTTTTGTTAAGAGATTGAGAATTTTGAAATAGTTTGGGTTGTATTATTAAGCTGTTGGATAAGTTTTTTGGTTTAGTAACTTGATGTAGTTGGGTTTATATTGTGTTTAAAATCATAGATTTGATTATTTTGAGCTATAAATTTGGTATGATATTTTTTACAAATACAGGTAATTATAGCAGTTGAGAGTGAAGCAGAAAAAAATGTGTAACTCTTTGAGCAGTACAAAGCTTTTTATGGAAACAAGCTGTTGGTCGAAATTTTTTTGGAATTAGTAAAACATTTCCTGAATTATCTTCATAGATTGCTACACTATAAGTTGCTTGATGTTTTTTATAAAAATGGTCAAGATCTAATGTGTCTGGTTCTTGGCTTGTTAAAGTAAACATGGTAGAACAAATTTATTGATAAATTAGAGATGGGGTTATATTTAGCTTCACAATAGTATAATTTTTGTTTCGTGTAATATTACGCTATAGAAACTTCTAAATACTGCAGCTTGTGTAATTGCAACTTGTATTACCATGGCTGGTGTGGCTAATATGGCACAATTTGTCACATAACTGTAATTTAATAGGTGCAAACTATAAAGTTTGTATTAGTTAAATATTTACTATTTTGTAAATATTAATTTTAATTAAAAATTAAAATAGAATTGGTGTAATTAGTAGAGAACCATTAATTTTGAGAAGTTAAAAATGTGGGTAATATAGTTTAAAAATAGTTAATATTGTACAAAAACATCTATAGAGTTTTTTGCAAAAAGAAACTTTAAAAAAAAAAAAAACCTTAAAAGAGTTTGGAAGATTTTTTAAGTATATTTTCGTTAGTTTTAAGTCAACAAGTCTGAAATTTAGCTTGTTATGATGGGAATTGTGAGTTCTTTAAGTTTTTCTAAGCTTGAAAAATATGTTTAGATAGCCATTTTAGAGTTATTAGGAAATATGTGAGAAAATAGGCCAGGTGGCTGTTTCTCAGTAAGTTTAGAAGCTTTAAATTTAATATTCAAGTATTATATATATTTTTTTGTTAAGAATAAGTTTATCTAAGAGCAAAACTAAGATTAACTTAGTAAAAAATAAAGTTATAAAGTGTTTTAAAATAATTAAGTTAGGAGAAGTTTGTGTACAAGTGATAAACAGAAAGAGTTGTTGAAAGTAACATTTAATATTATAATAAAATTATTTTAAGATTCAAAATTTATTAAGTGGTTTGATTTTACAGAATTATGAATTTACACATAATATATGAGAACTATTCTAGGAAAATGTTGATTTGGGAGTTAAAAAATTTTTCACCAATCAAATAATTAAAGTTTATTATTAACTTTCTTTAATTTTTTTCTGTAATTTATATCTAATTATTTCCTTATAAATTAATATTTGGGCATATGTCATCTTAAACATTGGCTTTGAGCCTTGCTCATGACTGCCACATTTTCTTTTTGACTAAAACGGTGAAAATTTTTGTAAAATTTCATGGAAGATTTTTATATTTATATATTGTACTGTACTATCTAAGCTATGTGTGGTATGCATTCAGATCTATCTACACATGGCACCAAAAAATTTTATCATACTTAGGTTGTATTTATACTTTTTATTATTATATAGTTATGTGAATTATATATATGTATATATGGGTGCCACCAAGTGAAAACCAGGAATTTTAAAAATAGATTTCTTTAGACAACAGAATACAGGCTTTGAATAATACTAATATATGATCAAAAAATAGTATAATTTATTATTCTAGTCAGGTCAGTTAAAAGCCTGCATTTAGGGTTAGGGTCCTGTAGCCTAGTGGTCTAGGCACCTAACTCACAGACGAGGTTGACGATTCAATTACAGCTGGTGGTAATTAATTTAATTAATTATCTCTGTAACCTTTGGGGGCTTTTGAATGCGAAACCCTGTGGCGATAAGACTATGTGAAGTATATATTTGGCTGATAAAGAATTCTTGGAAGAAGTCCTGAGCCATGGAGAAGATCGGGCACTGCATATAACATGGGTCACAAAAGTAATACTGCAGAAGGCTGTGCATGTGAATCCACGATTGGCAAAGTAGCACTAACAACTATAAGGCGGCATTGGGATCTTGTTGGGAGGATAGCTGTATACAATATATCTAGAAGTAGTGAGAGAAGCAGTGAACATAGTAAGGGGCTGTGGTAAAAGAATGGCTTTACCAAATATGAAACACCTCTGGCACAAAGAAACAGAAAACCAGCTAAAAGAAACCCCAATAAGCATAGAAGCAAGCGCTCTGGTGGTACAAAAATAAAGTTAGCCAGTGAGTAATGTATCGCACAACCTATATAGGAGTCATGAAAGCATGATAAAACATGGCAAAAGCATGGGTCCTGGGTTACTGGCTTGTGACAGTAACTAAATGAGGTACTCAACTCCTGTTCTAAGAATCTAGACTTCTGTAATACCATACCGATAGGGAGTACTATAAAAGGAGTGGTAGTCTAATTTGGTGGTATATGATGTTAATACCTGGAACCATGCAAACAGCTCTCCTAATGGTAGTAGTAGATAGCTTGAGATATGGGTCTTTGGACGGCAGCAGTACCTGGCTTAAGATACAGGTTAGGAACTGAAGTAATATCTTGAGAAATACCAAACTGGAAGCAAGAAGAGTGCCTACTTCTAGGACACCAATTTGGAAGTTATACAAGAAATGAATTAGGAGTAATGTGATAAGTGATAAGAGTGGATTATAACTAGTAGACATTATATAGTAGTATATATAGTGGGGTATATACAAATTAGTAAAAACATTAAGGTTCTGAGTTAAATCAGAACTTAGGGTGCTTCTTGATAGAGGTTACCCAAGGATGTCCATCTCACATATGAGATGGTGCAGACGGTTGCATCTGAGCGCCATATAGGGTAGCCGGGTGAGGTTATTATAACTACTTAGATAGGTTAAAATATATATAATATCTGTAATGTTCAGTTAAATAAGTAATAAAGTTAATGACAAAATTGTCGAAGTTTAAAAAAAAAAAACAAAACCAAAAAAAAACTTCTATGAGTATAAATGTGGTGAATCCATCTATAAACTTCAGAGATTTAAATCTAATCGGTTATGGATTTATGTTTATAAACCAGATTTAACCAACATATACTCATAAACATACACTTTGTAAAGATTGTTTTGATATTTGTCCAAAAAATTTAGTAGTTGATTTTTTAAATGATTTTGTCTGGAAGCGCTCTTAAAATGAAATATATAAAATTTGATTATAATATTCTCACATGTGAGATATATAATCAACTGATAAAATATTACAACATGATGCAACAAACAACAACATTGATATTGTATTTAAAAGAAAATGAATTCAATCAACAAGCATTTAACAAAATATTATTGTTACAAAGAAGACGTAACAAGCTTAAAATAAAAACAGCTACAGAATTTTCATACAAATTTACAGTGGAAAAAATAGATTCTTTTTTCATTATCATAACAGAGATAACAAAATTTCAAAATCACTCATATATTATTGAACATGTATTTCATTAACCAAATTAATAATTGTACTACATCAAAAACTATATAAACAATTTATTTTTCCTATCATTAATTATTAAAATATATATATTTTTTAAAAAAAAATACAAGGTGAGAGTAGTTTACCAAACTAATATTTTGTTTTGTCATTTGTTTTCATTTCAAATATTGACTCTCTCTTTGTCCACCTGATATTTATTATATTCTTGTTGTCTGGTCTGCTCATGCTGGCTATTCTGCAAGAATGTTTATTTTTTTTAATTAAAGATGGATTGGAAAGAAAAATTTGAGAATTTCAAAGTAATTACTAATTGAGAAAGATATAAAAATCTCAATAAACCAAATCACAAACTAATAAATATCATCTTATTAAAATCAATTTCAAGCTTTATCTCGAAGTTAAAATTAAAGAGAATATATCTTTTTTAACTGATCTCAAATATTTTAATTTAATTCAAAATTACACTTGGCATTCGCGTAAAGATAGAAATACTTTTTGTATTCAAACACAAATTAAAAATAAAAAATTCAATTTCATCGAATGATCCATCCAGAATGGTTTATAATAGATCATATTAATCGTTCTGAGCTTGATAACTGTAATATAAATTTACGTAAAACTACATTTCATCAAAATGCATTAAATTGTAAATTATCAAAAACCAATATTTCTGGGTATAATGGTATTAGTTTTAATAAAAACAAAAAAGTTTGAGAATTTAAATAGTATGAAAATAATAAACGTAAAAAAAAACTTTTTAAAACAAAACAAAAAACAATAGAATTTAAATATAAAATAGATAAAATTACTGGAAATTGTAATTGTTATTCAATTTAAATATATTTTAAAAATAAACTTAAAACAAAATATAATTACAACCTAAATATTTATATTTTTTTATTTTATCTAATTAAAATAAATGAAATTTATATTAATCAACTTTGTGAGATATATCAGAAACAAATAGCATTTAATTGGTTACAGTTTTACTGTAACCAATTCATAAGCATTTGGTGTCTGACTATATCATAATCAAAGTTGTTGATAAGCTGCTTCTGCTTGCAGAAGGCCTAGCAGCAGCGACCAGACAACAAGGATATAATAAATATCAGGTGAATAGTGTTTTTTGTGACGTTTATTACTACGATATGAGGTGAGCTTGGGGCGTAGCCAAATCAGCAATTCAGGAACCTCATATCAATGTATAAACAAAACAAAAAACATATTGTAATTTTAATTTTTATATTATATTTTATTATAAATGAATAATTATTTATCTGTAGCTGTTACAATTTTTTGTAATCTTTCTAATAAAGTATCATTATTATTAAAATAAATATTAAGATTATTAAGTATTCTTTCAGTATAAATATTTGGTTGGTTAATAATATCACTTAATTTAGTATTATCTTGTCTTAAATTCTGTATACACAATTGTAATCATCTTGTTTCTTATCTTAAAGTATCATTATCATTGATCAATTGATCATTTTCTGTTTGTAAAGAAGTGTTTTTATCATTTAAATTGGTTATTTTTTGATTAATATGATTTATTTCACCACTTATAGAAGACATTTATTTTTTTGTTTATTTTTTCTTTGTTTAATTTTTTTAGGTTCTTTTGCTTTATGTACCGGTTCATAAATAGAGCTTGTTTTACCTTTAACAAATCTTTTTAAAAAAATACCACTATTATAAAAATTGGTAATTTGTCTATTTTTTTTTAAGATAGGTTTATAAAAATTTGAACAATAATCCCATATAAATAGCTTTGGTAAATGTTTATTTACTAAAACATTTACAAGCGAAGGAAAATAAAAGGATCCTCCTTTTTGAGCTTTAGGTCGTGCTTGATGAGAAATTTGTATAAAAAGAATAATTAAAAAGAAAAATAATAATTTTTTTTTTTTTTTTTTTAAATTAAATAAATAATTTATATAAATAGGATGGTTTTATATTTAAATATAAATTCACAAATTAGTGGTGGTGGAGGAAATCTACCAGATGATTCTAATGCTCCATTACCAACTCCTCCTCCATCACTTGAAGATATATTAGAACATTAAAGAATAGTTTGGGTTAGAATTTTTGAACACCTTAAAATCACAAACCCAGATCCAAATAATAAAGATGTAAAATCGGGAGCATTGTTTGAAACGATAGAAAAAGTAGCAAAGGAAATAAGTGAAGTTGGTAAAACAGGCAATACAATAAAATCAGAAGAACAAGAAATGTCAACATATTCTTTTTTGGAAAATAATGATATAAAAGAACAAGATTTTGAAAATCAAAAAGAAGAAATTAAATATAAATATGATTTTTAACTTATATAATCTTTAAATAAATTATATTTTATTTTTATTATTTGTTAATATAAAAGTTAATAAAAAAATATTTCTTCAAGAAATTATAACTAGTTCAAAATCTAAAAAGGAACTTATTAAGAAATTATCAAGAGAAGACCCTGAATACTTGATAGAGAATTTAAAAAATATTGAATATGTTGCTAATATAATTTACGAAACACCGAAGAATGTTAGTAAAAAACGAAAATATACGGAAAATTCAATCTCATCTATTTCAGATAATAAAAAAAGTGAAAGTGAAAATGATGATAATGAAGAATTACTAAAGAAAAAAACAAAAAAAAATCCAACTCCGTATAATAATTTTGTTAAAAAAGAATATCCTGAACTTAAAGATGATTATTAACATGACCAGATATTGAGAGTAATTGGTACTAGATGGAAAACAAGTCCTGAGAATTCTAAAAATAATTTTTAAAATATATAAATAGATCGATTTTTTTTTTTTTAAAAAATTAAAATAAAACCTTCTTTAGAATTTTGTAAACAATATAATAGATTATGATTAATATTAGAATTAGCAACATATTTCTTATATATAATTCTATTATTAATTTTAATTTATACAATTGTTATTATACATATTAAATCTAATTTATTAGATTTTAATTATATAACATATTTTATTACATTAATTAAAGATTTTTTAATAAAATCGTCACAAACTATCTTAACACAATTAGTGACATTTATAGATTCATATTTACAAACTGGCACCGATTAGAAAAACTAAAATTGTTAAAAAGAAAAAACCATCTACTACGAATAAACCGAAAAGAAAATCTCCAATAAAAAAAATTATTAGAAAAAAAAAAAGTTGCACAAAGTGTGGTTGCTTGTTAAATGGCTCCTATAAGAAAAAATAAATCGAAAAAAAAAATGAAATAGTAAAAAGAAAAAGAAATCTGTCAACAACAAATAAAAAAATTTTAAGAACATGTAATATAGGATTTTGTGGAGATAAAGAATGTTTAAACACATGTAGATTTAGACGAAGAATAAGAACTCAAGTTGAAAGAGTTGTATTAGGTGCACGTAAAGTTGATAAAAGAACTTTTTATTTTGATACTTTATAGAATAGATTATTTTACTATAGATTGTTTCAAGAAAAAAGTAATTTTAAAAATTTTGAATTACAAGATATATCAATACATTTAAAAATTACATCATATTATAATAGAGTGCGAGGAAGTACAATCAATATACCTGTTACAAAAGGTAATCAGGTTATTACATCTTTATTAGGACCTTTAAAAGTAAAAGCGTATGTTATAGAAATATGTAATATTAATTTAGCAAAGAAACAAACTATAACTTTAGATGATATTTTAGTAGATTTTAATCTTTAACATATTCAATTTAGAAAATCTATAACAGTTCATTTAGAAAATGAGATAATGATTGATTGTTCAAGTTGTCAATTTGAATTTGATGAGGTTATATTATGTTTGGATTTAAATCGTTTATATGTTTGTATATTGTCCGAAGAAGATAATCAAGCACATGTATTTGATAAAGGAAATTATGTAATGGTTGTTATTTTAGATTATATGGATTGGATGTATCAATTTAAAAAAATATTGTCAAACAATGATCCAAATATTATAGATCCTCTTGGTGTTGCTTTTAACGAAAAGACTGGTGATTCAGGAATTTCTGGGTTTTTTAGTGGTAGATATATAGAATCAGCATATTTACCAGATTTAAGACATGCTCCAACATTAAATGCTATAATGCAATCTGTTTAAGATTGTTGTGAGAAATAAAATAGATTTATTTTTAATATTTATTTTTTTTTTTAGTTTTTTTTTTATTTTTCTATAAATATAATATTTTTTTCTTTATTTTTAATAAAAATTTATTAAACATCATGATAGCATCAAAAATTTTAACAAAAGTTGATTCATGCATTGTTGGTTCTTGTAATGATAATAGAAAATTAAATATTTGTCGCAATAAAAGAGAATATGGTCTTTCTATCGATACAGAGTACCAATTCGGTCCTCAAAATAAAATCATTGAAGACAGTGAAGATACAAAACAAAATACTTATTTTCAAGTGCCTGAACAAATATTAATGTATATGCATTTATTTCAAAAAATTAATACAAAACAAACCAATCTTGAATTACATGATATAGCTGTTTAATTGAAGTTGACAACTTATCATAATCAAGATAGAGAAAGAAGAATTCAATTACCTATTGAAAAAGGTAGAAGTAGATATATAACACCACTTATAGAATCATTGATATTAAAAATTTTTATTATTAAAATATGTGATTGAGATGTCACTATTCAAACAGATCCTTCTATTAGAGATATTATTTTAGATAGAGATATTCAGGATATACAGTTTCACAAATATATAATGCCACATTTAGAAACTAAATTAAAAGTAGAATGTGGAGGATGTGAATTTCAAGATCATGAGATAAATTTATGTTTAAATCTTAATAAGTTAAAAGTTTGTTTATTAGAAAATGATCAAAACACTGTTAAGATTTTTAATCAGGGGAATTTTGCTTTAGTTGGTTTCGTAGATTATTGCAACATGTTTTATAAATTTAAACAAGAAAATGGGGATAAGAATTTTTTATTTTTCGGTGAAAATTTTAGTTCAATAGAAGCTAGATTAGATATTCCATTCTTTTTGCATGGTGGATATGTGGAAACATCATAGAAACCTGATTTTGAAACAACTAGTTCTATAGAAAATCTATTTTCACTTGTTCAAAAATGTTGTAAAAAATAGATTATATTTTATTCGTTTATTTTTTTTTTTTTTTATAAATATCAGATTTTTTCTTTAATATTAATAAATAAATTTAAATATGTCGTTTGATTGCAGATATAAAGTTGATTCAAAAGCCTATAAAAATTATTGTTATAAAAAACGAATTATTAAATCAAATAATAAAATAAAAGATGATGAATTTTATAACTATATTTTAATTAAAATATTAAATATTCCACAAAATAATTCACCAAATGTTGATGAATTTCAAATTTTGAATTTAACAGATATACAAAAACAACAATTACAAGAGTTACGAGCTGAACAAATGCGACGTGTGATAAGATTTAATGAAATAAAAAATGGAATTGAAAATGAAACATTAGAAAATATAGAAAGATTACGTGAATTTCAATTCTGGCATTAAAAAATACTTGAGAAGTTATTATTTACACAACAACAACAGAATCAATTGAACGAATTAAGATTAGCTAGATTGAAATTTTGGACAGAATATTTGGCAGAATATAATTTATTTGTAAAACAAATTCAAAATGAAACAGATTTATATAGATTACGAGAGTTTTGGATAACTAAAATTAATAATTCTCAATTTACAAATGAAGAAAAATTAAATCTTCATAAAATACATGAAGAATGTATTAGAATTTTATTGGAACAATCACAACAATCTAATTATCAGAGAATACAAAATGGTATACTTAAAGAAACTAATATTACAAACTTGGAAGTTGATAGATATTGGTTTAGAGAGATAAATAGAAGTAGTTTAAGTGAAAATCAACAAAAAGAATTAAATGATTTACATGCTAAAACCTTAATTGCTCTATCAAATAAACAATATAATGAGATTAGAAAAGAAATTTTAAAAACAAATGATTCATTTTTATTAGAGGATAGAGGAGATATTGATAGACAAATTCAATTGCTAAAAGACAATAATCTAACTGATGAAAGACAAACAATAAAATTACAAGAAATGCGTCGTGGACGTTTACAGAATCTATTACAAGTAAAGGAAATAGCAAATTATGATTAACTTGAACATTTGTTGCATACATATGTTAGAAGACAAAAAGTTAAGTTATTATCAAATAAAAGTATTCTTACAGAATCTATTAATGATCTTAATTAAACATTGTTAGGAAATAATAGAGATCGATTATTGTTAATACAAATGAAAAAAACTCGATTCAATAATCTTTTATATGATATAACAGAAAGACAAATACGAGCAGAAACAAACAGAGAAACTTTAGTAAATGAAGAACATTATGATCTTATAATTCAGTCATTAGTAGAATTTGTTTTTAAACCTCCAAGAACAATTCAAACATTACAAAATTTAAGACAAGAACTTTATAATAAAATAACACAATCATCATATAGAATTAAAAAAATTAAAAATCTAAAAGAAGCATTTGATTGGTTGATAGATTTGCTAGAGAAAAAAGAAAAAATATATAATCTTTTTAATGAAATAATAATAAATTATATCGTAGGATATCCAAATTGAAAATATACAAATAAATTACAGGAAGAAAAATATTTTAACAATGAGATCGATAAAATAGATGAAAAAACATGTTTGTATAAAAAACAATTTCTTCAAAATTTAAAAGAACAAATATATGAAATGTACAATAATGAAGAAAAGGATTATTATTTTATTGATTTAAAAGGCGATATTGATATGTTTAACAAAAATATTACAGATTTTATAGATAAAACTATAAAAAAAAATATAATATATAAATTGATAAAGGAAATTTACCAAGAAAGTGGAGTAGTGTGGGTAAGAGAAATTAGTAAAAAAGTAAAAGATACTCATGATAAAGTATCTTTTTTCTAAGAAATAAGATCCACTATTACAAACTCAAAATTTAGAAAACATTTTGATAAAATACTTAAGGAATATTTCTTAAAAAAATCAGAAGAAAATGAAGAAAATAATAAAAAAAAAAGAAAAAACATGATCTTGAAGATAAAGATACTCCAGATCCAAAAAGAAGAAATAAAAGAATAATGAAACCAGAAAAAGAATATAATAAAGAATCGATCCCATTTGTGCATTCAATATTGGTAAAATGGGAATTTATAGAAGATGTTTCTCCTTTAACAATTAGTGCTATTTTTGATATATATAAAGAAGTTGTTAACACGAGTGATGAAGAAATAAAAAATTTAAAAACAATAATCATAAATAATTTAGACAATTATCTTGATATTTTATGGTCGATAGCATATTCTTTAGCATTAGCGACATCGATTGATTTTTACAAGAAAGCAAAAGCAAGATATTTCACAAAACAACATTTTCTTGATATTGTGTACAAAATTTTAGTATTATAAAGTCCAGATCTTGAATTGGATGAATTAATTGAAAATATCTTTGATGGTTTGGAAGTATGAGTGAATTAAACAAGGGTTCAATATTATCTGAAGTTGAATGTATCAATAATTTAATTAAACAATACGAAGAAAAACTTGTTAAAAAAGGAAACAGAAATATCAAATCTTCAAAAACTTGTTATAGCTAATTTATCTTTTAAACAGATATTTAATCGAAAAAATATAGAAAAATTAATAATCAAGGAATTTTTTTCATTAAAAATATCTTTTATAAATTTTTATTTATATATATTATCACATATTTTAATTAATATTGTAATGATTTTTTTTATAATGTATATTCTTTACAATTTAAATCCTAATATACATATAAAGTGTATTGCGATATAATGTCATCATTAGAAACAGATGATTTGCAAATTTGGTACAATCATTTAGTAAAAAAAGTAGAAAAAATATCAATAGAAAAAGATCTTTTATATTAACAAGTGCAAGAATTAGAAGATGAAAATTATAAATTGAGAAAAAGAATTAAGCAAAACAATGCTTCACCAAATATTTTCACATTAATAATATCATATTTTTTTGTTCTTATTAGTTTTATTATTATTTTTATTGTATTTATCAATTCAAATTCAATACGTGTTAAATGTATTATTATCTAATAAACTATAAATATTTCTTCTTTTATTAAATAAAAAATAAAAATGAAAGCATTAAAAAAATCAATTATCTTTTTTATTATTTTTCTTCTCTGTTTTACAACTTTATATATCGATTGTAAAACTATACAATCATGTAGTTGTCATAAGAGAAGAAAAGAATTTTAAATCATATTCTTAAAAGAATTATTATATTATATAATAACTATATAAATAACTATTTATCGAGATCATTATTTTGAGTATTATTTGCTGTATCTATAATATAACCAACACCGCCGCAACCATAATGATCTATAAAAAATATATATTAGTGTTTGTTTGTTTTATTAAATAAATTCAAATTTATATACTACAAATAATTATATGTTAAATATTTAAACTTTTAATAGCGTATTCTAATAATGATGTTGTGCTTAAATCATTAATTTTAAATTGATTGGCAATATTTCGAAGGACAAAAAGTTCACCAAGGCCTGATTAAGTAATTATTTCAGAAGGACTTCTACTATCAGAACAACTAATCTAGACACATGATGGTTTTTGTGTGATTGAATTGTTATTAAAATAATTTGGATAGTATAAATTTATATGTTTAGCTCATTCTTTATTATTTTCAATTAATTTATTAACTGGATTACTTATATTGTCTAATATATTTT